TGTCATGGATGGCTTTCACATTTGCAGGCACAGAGAGAAAAACAGGCCTTCCACTGGGTTTCTCACTTTCAACACCAAAATGGCCAGTTTTAAAATCGACAACCCAACACTTAACTGTGGCATAGGAAAGGCCATTGTCACCCATAGCTTGTGACATTTCATCATGGATCTGCTTTGCACCTTTCCCTTAGAGAAACAGGAATTTGGTTATGGTCCTATGCCTCTTCCGCATTGAACTTTTCTGAAGGTGCCACCATGTTCACTTTGGACCTGAAAATGAAAGATAAATTAAACTCATAGGTAGTTGGTTTTTTGCACCATTGAATATAGACAAATTGGCCAATACACCCTGCAACTTACAGCTTCCTTGCTCAGTTTGTTCTGGGTAAAGCTCAGTACTTGTCAGCACCCCCTCGTATTTACATGACAGTCACTGAAGAACTGCATTCAGGTTTCTGACCCCATTTCTGTCACTTTTACTTTTGCTTTTCCCCTGTCTTTTACAATTTTCTTCCAACATCCATCTAGGTCATAGGTGGGTGGTATTTACATGTTGTATAGGGCTGCTACATTCAAAGTCAGAATTGCGAAGATGATGCCTAGCCTCTGGTAGGGGAGGAGTGAGAAGTAGGAGCAGGAGTTAAGATGAAGGAAAGGTACACATGATTCTTAGTCAGATTGCCTTCCTTTGGTTTCTGTGTTTAACACAGCAGTACAGGGGTCTGCACAGATCTTCTCAAACTCTTGTCACTATACCTGGAATCAGCCACTTTCTCCATCTTCCTTGAACCTTTCTATTACATATCCCTTATGCCTTTTGTCATCAGTCCCTAGAAAATGCACTAACAGGATGGCAGAGAATCAGAGTCAATGCGGGTGGGGGGGGGGCGGCTCCAATCAAGGTCATTGCATTACGAATCCGGACAGCATATTGAAAGTGCCTTCTTCAATTAGAATGATTTATGGTAAAACATCTTCTAACTTCTTAAGTGAAATAAGCCTTTCAAAAACTGCTGGTATCTGGTGATGGATTGTTTGATGCTGACGGAGTTTTATAAGAATCCAGGAATATTCAACCCCCTTCCTAATCTGATGATGAATGTCCTTCCGTATTATATTTCCTTTAAATTTATTTTACCTGCTGAAGCGTATTACGAACCACTAGCATATATATTTGAATTTTATGCCAGAAGATGCTATCTTTGTAACTTCAAACTATAATCGGCTCTTTCACTAGGTCATGCATTTCATAAAACCTCATCTGGAATCCTACTGAATATATTAAATAGCTCTTCACTTTCCTTGACTTTTATTAAAACTGATGTCTCTTCATCCTATACTAAATGCAGTGATATCTGTGGCTTTGGAAAGGAAGATGCTTACATGCCTGGGACTAGTTAGTTACTCGCCTGAGGGAGTCCTGCACTGATTTCTCATCCAAATCTATTGGAGATTTTGGAAGAAAACAAGCCATAAGAGATGGACCTCTATGATTTGGGGAAGTGAGTTTCAGAGATGTCACTGAAAAGACACTAGATATTCCATCTCAGAGCATGGGCCAAGGGGAACTATGTTGCTACTGCCTGGTGGACCACCACAGGTAGTTTGTAGCACACCACTGTAGATCTACTGCTTCCAATTGGTACCTCATCCACTCCGAATTTTGTACATTTTAGCAGGTAGCAGTCACATGATCCTGTTCAGAACATGATACTAGGTAGAAGAGCAACCTGGACTGAATGTTTCCTGGAAGCAATCATGGCATGAAGGGGGTGGGAGTCACATGACTTAGTTGTTCAATGGAATGGAGGGGATAAATGCTGTTTTCTTCGAGACATTCATGAAAACATAAGGCAACTTGAGAATAACAGCGTGTTCGGTGCCTTTCAAAAGGTGGCAAGCCATGGCCTAAGTATTCCTGTATTGGTGCCTGAATATATAAAATAACAAGGACTTAGACTGACATATCTGTCAATTCGTTCTTCTTTTCTCCTGAAGAAATGATGGGCCTTGATGTAGGGTATAGAGATAGGGCCATCAAATCGTGGGTGATCACCATATTAATGAGAGAACAGAGGGTAGTCTCAAGGATATGAAACCAAATGGATGACAGTCCAACCCTGGAGGGAGAGCTAGTTGCAGTTGCTCAGTCTCAGTGTGCATGGGACATAGTTTGACAAAATGAAAATAAATATGGATTGTCACTAAGAGCATATGAAAGCTCCATCAAGTGGGGTCACTGTATGTTCTGAAAGTTACATCAGACACAGTTTGATGTTTCTGGATTTTCTCATATTGAATCGATGATGAGCAGCTAGAAGCTGCTGAACTTCTACGGAGAAAAGATTTCTTGGTGTCTGCAACGGTCAGGCACAAGACCTGAGGAAACAAAAGTAGGCTTCAGCAATTACATATAGGCTGAAATTATGTGGCATGGCGGAGAAAGGCACAACTAGAGTAGGCCCACAGAATAAATGGGAATTTGGTGAATTGACTCTTTTGTAAATTCCATTGGTTCAACGGACCAGCTCTTGTTGTGATGAACTATACTAAGCCGTAGGATTTCGGCTACTGAGAAATGTGTTTCTCCACTTTTCCAGTGCAATATTTGGAGGACAACATTAATGCAGATCTGGGGGGGGGGAGTATTGGTAAATGATCAAGAGTATTGTAAATATCATGATTTCACAGGCAAACCATAATTTGTTTCCAAGCAAAGGAACAAACGAGACAAGTCAGATATCAGAAATGGTACTGTTCAGAAGGCAGGGTTGGGGGGAAAAAAACCTTAAGGGAAAAGAAAGGCTTCTTAGGAATGTGAAAATCAAGTTAACCAAATCCAGACATGGAGCTGAATCCCATGCATGTGTACTCTGAAGATAGTCTCACTTACTTCAGTTGGACATTTCCCAAGTGAAAATAGCAAGGAGGTTTGAGGGACCTTAAAAACTAGTCTTGAAAGCTTGTGCTCTCTCCTGCCATTGCTTTTGTTGCTGCAGACTTAGCACAGAAAATGGATCTTATTTCAAAGTGGATACCTGTAAAATCTTAGCCTGTTGCTGTTTATTGACTGCGGAAGTTACACATCAAAGCAGTTCGGAGAAATGCAATGTCTGGAGGAAACGGTGTTCCATTTTATATTGCATACTAAAATCATGGTTCTGAATACAACTGTAGCTTTCTTTTTTTGTTTCAGCCATTCGTTGTTACGTTTTGGAAACATATTAGCTTATAAACTGGGAACTGCATTCACTTGATGCCAAAGATTCTTCCCTATAAGGCAATGCATGCAACGTGGAGGCAGCCTTTCCTGTGCTTAGGAGTAACTTTGGCATTAATACATTTTTAAGGTTGTCCGAGAAGGAATGCAATGACCATTTATCGTTTGGCAATTCCATGTACCCTCTGACATTGCCAAATGGGATGATTGTCCTGGATAGCCTGGTATGAAGTCTCCAACAGAACCATCTACTTTTCCTGGATTTTACCACACAAGTGAATAATTACTTGGTATGAAGTCTCCAACAGAACCATCTACAGTATCACACAAGTGAATAATTACAAGATTAGTGTAACTTGTATTTCTATGGTCTGGGGGTTCATGATGCTTACTTCAAAGAAGAGGGGAGCAGAGGAATTTAACTAATCTTACCCAACTAAGAAAAGTAGTCCCATATTTGTCCACTGCAGTGCCTCCTGTCCTCTTCAGTATCTCCTTTTATATCTTACCAGCCAACAGTGGGCTACCAGCCTCAGAAAGAGCAAAGGAGAGAGTCCTGCCTTTCTATGACATATCACAGCAGGCTTAAAATTCTCTTTGCCTCTTGGGACGTGGAGTTTTTCTCAGGGCTACAGACATTGCACTTCTCCAACATGCTTCTGCTTTTTTCCCAAGCCAATCTGAGGCAAGCTGTGGGTGGGGGAAGGCAATCTGCTCCTCCCTTGTACAGACAACCAGCTGTCTATAACACTGTTTGTCTGCTGTGACAAGTTGCCACTTGGTGAATCACCCGTGTTCACTCAGAGTAAGACAGGTCACGTAGGCTCTGGCCTCAGGCAGCGAAATCGTATTTGTGGGAAGGGAAAAAACCAACAGAGAGGAACAATACGTTCAGACGGAGCAGGTAGACTGACAGAGAAGTGCTCCTAGCAAAGAACACTACTTGTACAAATGTAAAAGCGATTACCCCATGCTAGCATCAGCTAATTTACAATTTGGGGTGTTGAAGAAGAGAAGAAAAAAAGATAGGCAGCCATAACTTGTACTCAAATCAAGAGGCATCGTGAAGGGTTCCATGCCATCCTCCTCCAATACAACCAGCATGGACAAAGTCAATGCAAGGTGTTAAAGAGTGTTTGAAGTATGTGGTTTTTTAAAAAATGATGTGAGGCAAAACAGGACAGGCATGAAGATAAAACAGTTTCTGTCAGTGAGGCTGGGCTGCAGAAAGAGCTCTTAAGAACAATTCATTCGAGAAAATGAGAAAAGACTTGCTTCCCACACCCTGTGAGGAGATGTGATTGATCTGAGGAAATAAAAGATCTCAGGAGGGAACATTCCAGAATTAGACATGGACAAGGCAGGTCAGGCAGTTTGGGACCTGAATTCCAACGTTTACGAAGGGGGAAATGGAGAAAAGGAAAGATAAGAGATGGTCAGTGTCGAGGATCACCACATTCAAGGAAGTCCACTCTAACCATTCAGCCACACTACCATGGTTATTTGTTTGTTTGTTTGTTTGTTTAACTTTTATACTACCCATCTTGCTGCAAGGCCACTGTGGGCAGTTTACAATATAATAAAATAAAACAAAAACCAACAGCAGCAACATTTTTTTTAAAAAATCAGACATAATAGTTACACAAAAATCAAAATCAAGATCAAAATTGCAATATTGCATCATAATAACCAAAACAACAGGAACACATAAATAAAAACAAAAACAAAAATTACTTTAACAGACAAGATGGCGAAACAGAAATAAGTGTTGAGATTGTCAATGCCTTATCGCGATCTAATCTCTGAAAAAGCCTGTCTGAACAGCCATGTCTTAAGAGATTGTTTGAAGGTTCCGAGTGAAGATGGCAGGCAGGAAGTTGTTCCAGAGGTGGAGACCAACTGCCAAGAAGGCCCAATTTCTAGTCTTCTCTTTTCGGGCCTCTCTCAGGGTCAGTGTTCTCAACCACCTCACCTTGGAAAATCAGGTAGTTTGGGTAGATCTTGTCAGGAGGAGGTGTTCTGTCAGTTTTTCTGGAATGGGTGAAACCAGTTGGGCCAAATATGATGATGGCTAGGGAAATTCATTTGCCCACCACTTTAGTCTTACCCAACTAAGCAGTACCTCAAATCCACAAAGTTAAGTGCTTTGACCCTTCCACCAACTTGCAAGGTTGAAATGGCACCATGTCCACAAAACATGCAGGTTCCCAGTATGTGGTCAGGACAATGCCTTGTTTTAAATATCACAAACCCTCTTAATCCAAAAAGTCAAACAACTGTGTACGTAAATTTTATATTTTATTAAAAATAGTGAAAAGATGAAAAAGAGCTGAAAATGTTGAAAAACAGTATCAACAGTTGCAAAGACAGTAAAAAAGGTTTTGGACCAAATAATCCATTAAAAGCTTGAGACAGGCTCAATACAGAGCAAACATACAAGAAAATAAAAAAAGCTAGCATTGAAATGACTAAAAAAACCAAACACCGCTGATGCATTAGCAATGATTTAAAAGAAATGGGAGACTTCCTCTCCTTTTCTCTGCACAAGGGAGTGGGAAGAAAGCTTTCCATTTCTCAAGATTGTTAAACAGCTTAAGCAAAGGGGTGGCTTAAGCCATCCGCTTTGGTTCGATCCCAGTGGTCATGCATGTTGAAACCCAACCAAAATGCAGCAGTCCTACCCACATAAAAAAAGAGTAGCTCCTGATAGGAATCCAAAAAGATGCAGGTAGGCATGAGAGATGGGGGTATTTGTATACGAATACGAATATCCCTGCACAGTTGGCAATAACAAGGGACCAGCCCCATGGGGCCAGACGATTCACTCACAGATCTGCTGCGGACGCCGCGATTCTTCTAATGGCTTTGCAGATTGTGATTGGTTAGCCACTCCTAACAGGAGGCAGGAGGACAAACCTCGCTGCACGGTTGAATAGTGGCTCGCAGATCACAATCTGCAGAGCCATTGGAAGAATTGCCCTGTCTGCAGTAGAGGTGGATTGGTGAGTAGACCATCCAGCCCCAGGGGGCTGGACCCTCATTATCGCCACCTGTGCAGGGATATTCATATTCGTATATGAATGCCCCATCTCTAGTAGGCATCCATCAGAGTCAGGCTGTTTCTGATGGCACATACGTAATGTGATTGCTGGGAAAAAGAGAGAACCAGCCCATTCCCAACCCAGACCAAACCATAGGATAAATGCCCATCAACTCAGCCCTGACAGCATGGTTACCAACAGTACTGCGAAACTCTCTGAAAGCGATGCAAGCAATACCTATACAGATTGATCCAGCAATTCAGAACCTTCAGAAATATTTGTCATAAAAGGATACTTTTTAAAATGCAAATGACATGTAGATGTTCCTTGACAACTAGATGGCTGCCATAGTTCTTCTAATAATGTAGCCAGAAGAAGTACAGTGTCTGTCAGTTATCATGAGATAGAGGAGCTGCAATCTTTGCCTTCTTTTGCTAGTGAAACCAGCTCTTGCAAACTGTTACTACTTCTTTGCATCTGAAGAGGAGAAAGAAGCATGATATTATATCCATCCGGTTTTTGCTCTTTCTAACATTCTTAAGTGAAGAATGTGTGATCTCGTATATGAAGTGGCCCCTTTCATGTGTGACCTACTCCATTTTGTATTCATTGTTATCTTTGGCTGCTTTCAGGCAGTGTACAAATCTGGGTCTTACTGAAGCTTTCCTTATATCTCAAAAAAAAAAAAAAGGCTTACTGGCAATGAAATCTATTCATGCTGTTTGCTGCAAAGACCTTGCTTTCCACCCTGCATGGGTTCAGTTTCTTGGATATGTCTCATGAAACTGTGGTTTCTGTAAATTAACCAGTCAACACTCACTGCATGTAATAAGATTATTGACTTTATATAAAAAGGAACATTAATACATCATGTGAAATGCTGGACTGGATGAATCCCAAGCTGGAATTAAGATTGCCAGAACCTCTGATATGCAGATGATACCACTCTGATGGCAGAAAGTGAAGAGGAATTAATGAACCTCTTAATGAAGGTGAAAGAGGAGAGCACAAAAAATGGTCTTAAACTCAACATCAAAAAAACTAAGATCATGGCCACTGGTCCCATCACCTCCTGGGAAATAGAAGGGGAAGATATGGAGGCAGTGGCAGATTTTACTTTCTTGGGCTCCATGATCACTGCAGATAGAGACAGCAGCCACGAAATTAAAAGATGCCTGCTTCTTGGGAGGAAAGCAATGACAAACCTAGACAGCATCTTAAAAAGCAGAGACATCCCCTTGCCGACAAAGGTCCGCATAGTCAAAGCTATGGTTTTTCCAGTAGCGATGTATGGAAGTGAGAGCTGGACCATAAAGAAGGCTGACCGCTGAAGAATTGATGTTTTTGAATTGTGGTGCTGGAGGAGGCTCCTGAGAGTCCCCTGGACTGCAAAGAGAACAAACCTATCCATTTTGAAGGAAATCAACCCTGAGTGCTCACTGGAAGGACAGATCCTGAAGCTGAGGCTCCAATACTTTGGCCATCTCATGAGAAGAGAAGACTCCCTGGAAAAGATCCTGATGCTGGGAAAGAGTGAAGGCAAGAGGAGAAGGGGACAACAGAGGATGAGATGGCTGGACAGTGTCATCGAAGCAACCAACATGATTTTGACCCAACTCCAGGAGGCAGTGGAAGACAGGAGGGCCTGGCGTGCTCTCTGGTCCATGGGGTCACAAAGAGTCGGCCATGACTTAACGACTAAGCAACAACAACAACAACAAAAAGGAAAGTGTGCACCATGATTTATATTATTATGATTTTAGCAGTTCCCTTGTCAAGCCTTCAAAGGCTTTTAAAACCCTCCTACGTTCTTTTAAAAGGGGTTAGGGTGGGGATGCAACTTTGGGAGTCAGAGGAAAGGGAGTGATGATTCCAGATAGGTGACCAAGCGTACTGATGACACAGAATCATTTAATAGTTCTTTTAAATCATAAATCAATGACAAAGAGCTCTGAAAAGTAAATACTCTATACCATAGTTATATTTTTGTTACTGGGAAGAAGAAATAATGAAGACTAAATCCAATTGCTAGTCCCAACTAAAGCATATCAACTCAACAGATGAGACGTACTTCTATTTATTCAAAGTGTTTATTCTAGTTGGAACTACCAACTGGGTGTAGCTGTTTAAGAAGTTTATTTATTTATTTATTTATTTATTTATTGGACTTATATACCGCCCCATAGCTCTACAAGCACTCTCCGGGCGGTTTACAATTTTTAATTATACAGGCTACACATTGCCCCCCCCAGCTAGCTGGGTACTCATTTTACTGACCTCGGAAGGATGGAAGGCTGAGTCAACCTTGAGCCGGCTACCTGTTGTATCCTGTTGCTTCCAAGGGTAGGCTGAGTTAACAGTGATGGCAGTTCTCTCCTTGCTTGTAGCTTTTGGCAACTGTGGTCTGTCATAAGCTTTGTTTCCATTTTCTCCCTTTGTATGAGGTAAATTATGATCATGGCTCACTTATTTCCTGGATTATGGGCTCAGATGTTACTTGAATGCTCAGATGCTGTTAGGCTGATACTCCCAAAACCAACTTCCCAGTGCCCAAATAACCAATTATTTTTCAATAATATAGAAAAAGCTGTCTGATGTTTCCAACAAATCTGCTCCAAATCCCAGTTCAGAACTCAGAAGCTTAGAATCTATCTATCAAGAGATTAGGAAATTGAGGAATCATGGACTCTGGTGGTCTTTTGGAAAATTCTGGCTTTGTAGTCAGTATCTGGAATGAAATGGCTGAACTGGGGGCATAATAATGTCCACCAATAACTGGAAGGGAGAAATACTTGTAGCTTATGGGTTTGACAGCAATCTTGAAAGTAAAGCTGGTTCATTCCCTGGTACTGAGCTAATTAGAAAAAAATAGTTTCGGCTGAGGGAAAGGAGGGAGCAGAAACCACTGTTATCTTAATGAATATTTGGGGGAGCTCAGTGCCTGATTGGAAGACTGTCCAGAAGAATTCATTTCATAGTTCTGGTTATAGAAGAGGTAACCATGTTAGTATGTGCAAGCATCAGAGGGAGAAACAAAATTAAAATTAAAATTAAAGAGCAAAAAAAAGGCAAAAATGTGGTTACACCTTAAATTTAAGGTTACACCTTAAATGATTGTTAGCCGCCTAGAGTGGTCCTGATCCGACTAGATAGGCGGGATATAAATGAAATGAAATAAATAAATAAATAAATTATCTGAGGAATGAGATTCCAGAAACAGAGCTAGGATAAATAAAGACTAACTGTTAAAGCTCATTAAAATATAGCAGTAAGCCTTTAAGTTATCACCACATGTTTGTCTTTTTTATTTGTTTTATTTTTATTTTTACTTTGTTTTTTCCTGAAATGGAAGAGTCCAGAAGCGGAAATGTAAGGTATAAAAATGGAGACAGAAGTTACTGTAGTGGGCTTAGTCAGAGAGATGCTGTACTCATTTTTTTTGGTCATTTTCTGATGAGCTATGTCCCTCATCAAAAATGAGAAAGAAATGGAAAGGTTTAATTCTTTTGCCCTCTGTAGGGGAGCAGGAAGGAAGCTTTCCCTTTCTCAAGATCATTAAATGGCTTTAACAAAGTATGGAGGAAGATGCAGGAAGAGAACTTGTTTTTGTTATTCTTTCCCTTTAAAGAGAAAGAAAATCAATCTAGTTCATGCTAGCCAGGGTTCTTTGAGGTAGGGTGTGGCTGATCCTTGCATGTCAATGCAAAGATCACCCCAAATGACATACTACACCTAGAAGTGTGACAAGCTACACTGAACCACACCATACTGCAACACGTTGTTCCAGAGACCACTTGTTTCTTCTGTTTCTGTTGTTCAGACTGTAGCACTGTCCCTTAGTTGGTCAAAAAGGCACCAACTATGTTCAAAATGGAGGATCAGCCGGCTTTGCAGAAATGTACAAAAAAAAACTTTAAGGGCAAAAAGTGGAAGGAGCCTCCCAA